AGCTCGCGTATATTAACTTAAGGTTAAAAAAATCGTTCACCCTGAGCATTTGAACGATAAGGGCAGGTGTATCGACACACCTGCGTCAACTTAGATAAGCTCTCAGTCACTCGAACATTGCATAAAACTGATTCATATTCTCTTTCGAGAATATATACATTGAAAGCATGTAATAAGAAGTGCTTTGATAAAAGTTATATTGTTCTTCTTTAATATTAACATTTCTTATCATCATTTACGAACATATTATCTTTAAACTAATTTCTTTAAAATTAAAACCAAATCCCATTATAATAATTACTGGAAGTAATTTTGTTTGAGATTTTACAAGCAGATTCTACGATAAATCTCGTGTCAGCTTTCTTTTTAAAGGAATTTATTATTTACCTTTCAAGTGTTTATGTTTTAATATTTTATATTTTTAATTCGAATTTAAATTGGATTCTGTTCGGATAAAGATGAAAGTATAAGATGAATATACTAAAATTGTGCGATCTAAATGCGATGAGAAGGGATGTTCGTCCGAAAGTCACTCGAGGATTTTTCCGGATTCTTAACGAATGCACAAGAAAGATCTCGTGAGCAATTTAAAATTTTATTTCTCTTAAAATTTCTCTTCAAAATCGTGGAGTCAAGTGAAAAAGCATCAAGCAATCGTCGGACGCTTTATCGAATGGCACGAGACGCTCTTATCAGACGATAAAAATTTGGAATCGATCGGGGTTATGCGCGATTCACCTCCTCCCCTTCTCCCAGTATACGAAATCGTCCCTAATTGTCCACAAATCGACGGCCACCCTCGATTTCCCGAACCGTTAAGTACAACCACCCGAGGGCAGAGGGGCTACCGTTCTACTAGCCCCCCTCGAGACGTCGAGAGGGTTCGGGTTCACCGGGCACACACCCCGGTAGAATATGGATTCAATTACACCTCATTGTACTGTGGTGTCTATAAACAACGCTGTTTTCACAGCTGATAGTGACCCATCGCGCACTGCGGGTCGCGTACTCCGAGCGCAACGAGCGCACTATACTTTAGGAGCAGACTTTCAAAATGCATTTTGTCCAAAATTTGTAATTTTCAGAAAACGAGAAAGAAAGAAACTACGCACACAAGAAAATTACGCACTTTACAGAAAATAACAATATGTCAATCAGTAGAATGTGAAACATTAAACAAAATTGTTTAACAATTGCTAAAAATGTTAAATAAATGCATTTTGTTTGTTTCTAGTTAAAAAACATAATGCACTTCGAAATGTGTATGTTTTTTCAGCATATAAATTAACGATGAAAAAATGCTTTCTGAACATCTCAGGGTAGCTTATAATATAAATATATAAATCATTCAACACTGAACACTACGCCTTCTCTAACTAAAAACATGAAATTTTGGACAAAACGCATTTTGAAAGTCTGCCCCTCATTTATTGTTAGATCTGCCTGGCTGGCAATTCCAAATTTCAGGAAAAGCTTTAACTCTCCTTTTGCTTTTGAATATTTTTCCCGCAGCAGGTCTTTCAAATTAGTTATCACTGTGAAGTTAAAATTTCGCTATCGAGATTCAATCGATCAATAATTATAAAAATATCTTAGAAATTTCGCTCGTTTTAATATAAAAATTTAAGAATATTTATATATATTGTAACAGGTGTATCTTCCGGATTAACAGTTATCACTTTATTTTGTTTGAAAAAAAATCTGTGTTCCTCGCATAACGTGGAAACCTCAAGAAAATCTTGCGTTATTTCCTCGATATCTAAAGTACAGAACATAGAGAAAATTATATATGTATACGTAACTTTTAAAAGATATTTTATATGTAGCAGATATTTAAATGTAAAGGGTGATCCATTTTTCAATCAATCTTCTAAAATAGTTAAAGTGTGGCATAGGTGAACGTATAATAAGAGAGGAGGCAGGAGATGACGCTCCCTCCTCTTCCCCTCATAAATTTTGTCAAAGAGAACGAATTATAAAAATCATTTTTACGATGTTAAACGCTTATTAACGAATACTTTTATATTCATATGAAAATTCACTGAAGAACTTCAAAGACTAGCTTTAAGTACACACGATGTCCTTTATTACATACGTTGGATTGTTAGCGTCTGAGTTAAGTTCCATTATTTTTACAAGTATGCAAAAATTATCAAGTGATTCTTATATACCCATACAGCACAGAATTTATAGCAATATCGCTGCAAAATCTCTGCAATGCTGCTGCAACATGCAATGTTGTTGCAATATTGCAGCAGTGTTGCTGCAACTTATGTGCAACTTTGTGCTTTAGGGGTATATTTCAACATCTTTAGAAAATATTTGTAAATTTGTTGTGTTTAAAAAAAAGAAAAGGACAAACAAATCATTATATTTAACCAGATTGCTCCTATTTCAAAGAAAAGAAATGCACAGGACAAAAATGACACATCGTGCAGTGTACTACTGCAAATAATATAATCATTTTAATAAGTTTTGTGAAGATGAATTTTACCCCCTTCTCTCAAAAACCTGGGTACATCCACAGCATAAAAAAGTACACACACTATACGCAAATAATAACTTGTTTCAAGTGCCTCAAAAGTTTATGTATTCGCAAATCTCTCTATTATACATTATTGTAAGTCTATCAAATTTATTCAAAATATATTACTGAATCCTACTAACAATAAGTTTAATACTTCACGCAAGATTATTAAATTAAAACAAATTCAAATTGCTTGTTATATAAAGTCGCTTCTTCGATCAATTTTATAATAAGCTTGAAAAGAAAATAAATTCTTGTTTTGAGTACATATTAATGAGTTTTTCTATTTGTAATAAATATATTTTAAGATTATTATGAAGATTATTATAAATTATTATTTACAAATTATAAATTATTATTAAAATTATTATCAAGATTATTAGAAAGAAAATTCTTTGTTAAAAATAACTGCATTTAAAGGAAAGAAAATTAATTTATTGGAGTAATCACTTTTTTTAGCAACAAAATGATGTTTTTCTATGCGCACGTGGACTTCGAGAGGGACGTTAGAACAAAGCATATAAAATATTTGCTAAGCAGAGTTTTCAAAGTCATTGTCATTCTTCTAGAATTCTAGAATTCTAAAAGAATCACAGAAGAATTACGGAATCGCGCATAATGAAAGTTACGGCGCGATAATAAACTCTATTGTTCAGTCGGCCAAGGGAGACCATCGCGATCGTAGTAGATCGAACAGTATTTCACCCCAAGCGAACGTATAATAATGCAATGTAGGAATGAAGTTCCTTATCTTCCGTGTTACTGGCGGCTTCGCGAAGTTGCTAATGACAATAATGATGTGTGATAATGTCTGCCTCTGCAACCGAAGAGAAAGAGAGGGAGATAGAGCGGGAAATGAGAACTCGCCACAGCGTCGCGAACGAGAAGGAAGAACCGAAGGATCGTGAGAAGACTTGCAGCCGTCGACGCCATTATCCCCGTCGAGTCGTAGGGCGCCGCGACGCCGCAATATCGACGTACCGCCCATCGCGTCTCCCCCGCGTCTCCTGTGCTCTTCCTCTCATTGCCATGTCTCTCTCTCTCTCTCTCTCTCTCTCTCTCTCTCTCTCTCTCCTTTCGCTCAAATTCACCCTCGCTAAAAGGAGCACTTTTTAGGACGTTATAAACTCCTCGGCGATTTCGGCCATCTTGCTGATTCTCTGTTTCAACATAATGTTATCAAAAGTATCTTCGAATCACGGATTACGAAAACCCGGACGAGATTTGACGACTTAAAAGTTCCACACTGATTTGTCGCAAAAGACGGTATAGTTTGGATAAGTTCCTCAATATTGTGAAAAAAGACAATAAAACTTTATCCTCTTAGAAGAACAATAAGTCAATGACGTTAAAATGAATCGTAAATGATTGAAAAGTGAAAAGTGAAAGTAAATGATTGAAACTTTTAATAATCATTTTGGAAATATTCAGCATCATTTTGATGTCATGATAATTTATTGTTCTTGGACTTTTGTCTCGATTTAATCAAGCTATTTTTTAAAGATTATGTGTTATCATCATGATTTCGATGCAATTCGCTAATTATTTAACTGATAAAAGCGTTTGTAGATGAAGTACATGCAAAGGATAGTTTACTGGGGCATTTAAAAATTTAACCAGATAATCTGAATATAATTTTATTGGACAAAATAATTATTTAGAGTTCAAGAATGTTAAAACTTTTTGCAGCATTTTTATCAATACTTAGGCGTTCTACATAATTATTTTGATCCAACAAAATTATTTTCAGATTTATATTTCGCTAAATTTGCCGATACGTAAAATTGTCGTTTTTGTGCAGTCTTCGAGGAAAGGAACATGAGTTTAATCATTTTTGGAGACCTGCAAGGTGAATTATAAACGCAACAAAGTTCTCGGAACTACGTTTATTTGGCTTTGTTATTCACAGTGGCAATAATGATGCTCACTGTGCATCATCATTACGTCGCGTTAATTATGTATAAACAGTGCTTACCCTATTATAATTCGCCTATTTCAGTAATTTCTATTTACAAAGCACGTTTCGCAAAACGTTCGTAAAAATGTCTCGTACAGTTGCACCGATTCATATTATTATACAAAACGGCAAAAACCGAATCGACCATTACAAAATAAACGTGAATCCCATCTCCTCAGAAATAAATTAAGGACAAATTATTTTCTTTCAGTCAGGTATTTCATGGTTTCTTAAAATTCTATTGAAAATATTCAGACTGCAATACTACTTAGAAAATAAGATATTAATGAAATTAAGGAAAAATAGTAATAAGAGAATCACGTTTCTACTTTTAAATAAAAGAGAGACTCGTATTTTTAGTCGAAGCGAATCTTGGCGTTTAATAATATTTATATGCTAATTTGGAAATATATTTTTCGCGTAGTTTATAAAACTAAAAAATGTATTTTTCAGAATAGAATTCTTAGATTTAAAATATATTCATCTAATTTCCAATTATAATTGTTTTCGTTTTCTATATAAAAAATTTCTGTAACTCAAACGCGTGTATTTTGCAATGGTTAATTCGATTTACTGTGCCTTTTTGATGAAATCGCGAGAGATATATAAACTGGTGATCATTTTTGTCGTCCAAAAAATCGGAGACCTTCAATGATCGTAAGGTACAAATAACGAGGACCAGTGACTAGAAACATTTCCCTTAGATACTAAATAACACTCTAGATGAGAAATGTTCTCACAACCGTGCGATGTGTCCGATCCTCCGCTTACTCGTCAAATGAATTCAAATTCGCCATCTACTCGAACGTCGTCCCATTTTTCGATGTTCGCGGATCTTCTGGCGTCCAGACCTTCGCGTACATCGTGCCGTTCGGCGAGATATCCGATTTTCTCGACCACGAGAGCGAGTGCGAGATAAATGGGTTCCCACCGCTACCTGAAAGTTGTAATTCGATGAAAATTAACCGAAATTTGGAGAACGCGAAATCGCGGTAAACTAAGATCGACACAGGGATTTTTATCTTAATCCGTAGAAATATTATGTTAAATTACTGCCTCCATACATACTCTCTAAAAACTGAAAATTGAGCTAGTCTTGGAAAAAAAGTGACTCAATTTTCAATGTCCCATTTTTGCAATATATGGTTACTTAAAGATTAACGGTTATCAAGAAATTTATGAATGAATTTCATTGATGAATCTCTTAGTTATGGGCGTCCACAGGGGGGGGGGGAGAGGGAGGAGATTTGCCCCTTCCCCTGATCGAGAGACATATGTTGAATAAAAGCGCGTGTTGATGGGGTTAAAATTTAAAAATACAAAAATATCCTGGTGAAAAAATTTCGCTAAAATTATTCTATATTTTGGAACATTTCAGCGAAATTGCTGAAAATTTGCTGAAATTTCACACACACTGAAAGTGAATTTTTTAACTAAAAATCGCTGAAATTAAATTGAAATTTTTCTAAAATGCTGATATTTTGTTGAAAAATATTCCAAAATAATTTCAGCGAAATTCTTCCATCAGGTACAAAAAAAATATAAAATAAACCCCAAAAAACGAAATATCTTCCTTGACATACACCTACCTTGTCGTGGTGAGAAAGATTTTAACTAAAAAGTAAAAGGTGTACAAATTAGAAATGAATAAGTGACGAAAAAAAAAGTCATTAACTCGACATTTGCACTGTAGGAATTGTAGGGTCACCAAGGAAGGAAATATTTGAACATTTTTTCCTTACGTGTGGCAAGAGTGCCCCCCCTTAGAAAAAATCATGTAGACACTCATGCTTTTGGTAATCTTTAATCCTTATAGGTAACTACATATTACGAAAACGGATCTAATTAAGAATGAAATTTTATTCTGCAGAGTAAGATTTACTTAAAAAATTTTAGAGAATAGTAAAAAACAATTTATATTCAAGTTCTTGTAAAATTTGTGTCAAATTTTTAATATATTCGAGTGTTAATTTAACATAATGTGAATATGTTATCTGAATATCTTGTATTAAATTGATATTCGACATTTCTGTGGAAAAAATATGTTTCCACAGTTTGCTTACAAATTATATTAGTGTTACATTTTTTGTGTTAATTTTCTTACATAATATTTGTGTTATTTTCTGATTTATTTATCTTATGTTAAATTAATGCAAAAATTTGAGTAGCTCATTCAGGACACATAAAATGTGTTAAATTTCGTACAAATTTTGCTTTTTACTTACATTATTGTGTACAGTGAACGTCTCACAATTGTTTTTGTAATTTAAAAATATCGAAAATTAAATAGCTTGCGCGAAAGCGGATCGTATAAATAAACAGAACGATTATACCCGCGATTCCCAAAACTTTTGATAATCTCTCAATTATCCCCGAACAGTAAATTCACCTCGAAGCACCACGTATCTGACGGACACCTGTCCTGGAATAAAGGGTAGATGGGTAATTATGATAAATCGACCTATGATTTCACGCGGGGTGGAAGCAGGTCGGTCCGACGTTAATACATTGTACACATAATATCGAAATAGCGTGGAGTGTAACAGTGCAATTCTGCATTATCAAAATCGAATCTCGCGGCAGTATAGTGAAAATCGAATCATGGATTCGAAATTTTAGCAAGGTCCTATGTTGAAACCGTATTATATACCGTATTGAAAAATACGTTATTGTGAACTTCAGATATAACATGCATCATGTAAAATGCAGTTCTGGACGTTGGAATTTCATTTCAATTAATCTACAACTCGAGGTGTCTTTCATCGACTCGTCGAAAATATATTTCAAAAAAGATAACAAAGTTTCAGCCTTAATTTACAACATTTTAATTTCGAATAACTTCAATTCTGATCTATTGATGTATGTTTTATGTTAAAAATTGAGAAATATAAAAAAGTGAATTTATTTTGTGTGAAAAGTTGATGTCAGTCTCATTAAACTTTTCATTAACCTTTATGTAGGTAAGTAACTTAAAGATAGTTTAGTTGCAAGTTGATAGTACTCATAATATTCCACAAAAAATTATTAATTTTATAGTTATGTTTTTTATAGTAGTATATTTTACAGATAAATTTATATTAATTATACTCTTATGAAATAGAGGAATGTAGAAATAATGAACTTTAAAATTTCTGGACACCTGAGCAATACTTTTTATTTTCTTTTTCTAAATAAATTTGAAAAATTTGTGTTAATTTTAACACATTTCACGTGTCTCAAGCGGTCCAATAAAATTTTTGTGTTAATTTAATATAAGATAGCTGTATTATAGGAAGCAACACAGATATTATGTATAAACATTAACACAAAGAAATATAATATTGACACAATTCATAAGCAAATTGTAGAACTGTATTTTTTCAATACAATTAACATTTATGATATATTAAATTAACATATTTTATTCATGCATATATATTAGAATTTACGTTTTAAAGTGCATTATTTTTGTTATTTGTTTAATTACTCGTAGATTGTGTTATTTTTACACTAAGAAATGTTGAATATTAATTTAACATGAAATATTTAAATAACATAATCATAGTATGTTAAATTAACACTCGAATATGTTAAAAATTTAACACAAATATAAAATGTTTCTTATTGTATAGAATGCTGTGGCCACACACACACTTACCCACTTAACAGTTAATAATTAATAAGTGAAATTTTTCATAAATAAATTTTGAATAAAAATTTTCTTCCTTTTATCATCGAATATGTATGTAAATGTATTAGTAAATTGATTATCGCGTTGCATTAATCGATAACTGCCCGTATAGATATATAATTAAAATTGGCCTCACCACGGACTATGACCTTCTTGCATTCATCCCGACTGGAACACCTCGAGAGACCGCTATTGCCCGTCAAGGGGTCGTTACCCTTGTCCGCCCTGACGAGCTCATTGAGGAAGTTTATGTAACCGATTGCCAGCTTCAGCGTGTCGACCTTTGACAGCCTCTTCTCGTACGGCAAGGTCGGTATGTGAGCCCTCAAGCCCTCGAAGGCATCGTTTATGTTCTGCATTCGTCTTCGCTCCCTCATATTCGCCGCCTGCCGTTGCTGAACCTGTACCTGTCTCGGACATTTTCCCGATGGTCCGCCGCGCCGGTTACTCCGACTTCGTCTACGAGCAAAAGTGACAAACCGATTGCTGTATGAATTTATAAAGCGATCAAAAAATTTCGATTTCATTCATAATTCGATATTCAAATACTTTAACACTATTCACTATTTATGAAGTATCAACTTTGAACATTGTAATACTTGAAATCATTACTTTTAGAAAATTAATAGTAAATCTTATCGAATTTTAAGGACCTCGCACTAATTATATGAAAAATAGACTCCGGTGAAATGAATTAATTTTCACATATAATTTAGTTTATAATGTAGTGAACAAAAGATGTCACAGACATAAGGCTTAATAATGAATAGCTTTTTAGCTGTTGTATCAAAAGGATGTATCAAAAGTACTTGTGAATACAAGTTTTACACCACAATTCAAAAACTATTCATTATTGAACCTTGTAACTACAACAGCTTTTGTTTACTACAAATAAGTTATAAGCTACATTATATGTGAAAACTCATTTTACCAGAACCCAATTTTCCATATAATTAGTACGGAATCCTTTAAAGATTTAGCAATTTCAAGAGAAAAGAACAAATCTAGATTTTCTGTAAGGCCGAGAAAGAAAAAGAAATCTGAGAACCTAAAGGGTGCCTTCTATTTAATCACACAAATCGTCATAAATGTCATTCCATCTTTCTTTGCATGAGTAATAAAAACATAACGATACTTGTGTCGACTTGTGTCACTAAATGGAAGGTATCTGAAGCGAAGCAAGCACTTTTGAAGTACTCACTCTCTCGCGTGATTCTCCTGATCGCTGCTGTAGACGCTCTCGTTGTCACTGCTGTTCTCGTCGTAGAGATAGTGCTCGCTACCGCTGGTGCTACCGGTGCTACCGGATGGATGATGGGACGACGGGATCTGCGACGGGATCACCGCCGGAAGCGTCGTCGTGGTGGGTACTCCGCAATGCGGCGGCAACGCCGAGATTGCCGGATTACCGAGGAAGGTGTGCGCTTCATACATGTACTGCCGGTTCATCATATCCCGTTCGAGATTGTCCATACACGTCGAATACATGATGACGATGTTTAATGTCCAGTTCGCCAATAATCACTCTGATTTAATAATTAAAGGTCTCGTGGATATTAATTATAAAATACTTTCCTTAATTTAGCGCCCCTTATCGGGTCTCAAGATCGATCACTAATTAACGAAAAATACGACTAGATTGTATGACTAGACGTAGAACGACGAGACTGTCGTGTAACTCACGCCATTTAATTCTTCGCTCTAGACGCTTTGAATGATAATCGTTTAATTATTGGACGAGCCTAGCAATTAAATTTCAAAATCCTCGTGTCGATTGCATAGTTTGCCGGAATTTCTGATCGTACCTGCGCACCCTCGACCACGTCTCGAGGATTGAAAGATACGATCAACACGTGCCAGCCAGGCGCGTGCAGGATAATATTTCTAAACAGCGGCACGTGTCTTGACGAACCGCTCCGGGCACGTGTTGAGATTTGTCCAAACACTTGTTAACACTTGGTACTCACGCCTCGAGATGCTTCGGTTCGTGTCCAACAATGCCACTTACGACATTACGATTTACTACTTACGAACATCATCCCGATGATCTCTTATATTCGCGATGCATGTCTGTGAGAATAACATCTTATTATACGTTCTTATATTTTTATCCTCTTTCTCGATTATAAAACCCTCTTATATTTCACGCAGAATTTTAATTTGCTTTCTTACAGTTGCAAAAGAATGATAAATCGGGACATTAATTATATCGGGATTCAATTAGTTACGTTGATTTATAATCTTCTCCGTCATTCCATATCGTTGCTAATGTTACACTGCTGTTTATTTTATTATAATTAACGCATAGTTTCGTTTATTGTCTTGTTGAAAGAAACTTTAATATTTTCGAAAAGCTTTATCGGAAAATATTGTAATTATATGTCAACACTGTTTTACATATATTTCTTCATTTATTAGTTAAAAATAGCACTCCAATTATATTCTTTTTTCGCAATCATAAACGGTTTTTTCAGTGAAGACACACGTCTGATTTTAAATATTACGATTATATTTGGCCGTTCTTCTCATCATACAGGTTTTATTCATTTCTGAAATATTTTTAATACGTGATCCTTCAGATCGCATTTTGCAATTGCATTGATGTTTCAATTGTCCTCTCTCAGATTTGTTTATCTATCACAGCGATCGTCTACGATTCTTTAATTCTTTCAAAAGATGCAGAGTTCACAGAGAAAATTCTCATAAGTCTTAAATCTTGGAAGAAAGTTCTCTAAATTGCACTTTGCAATTGCATTAACGCCTCAAATATTTGCGAATTGCTGTCACAACTATCGTCTCTGAGTTTCTATAAAACACATAGCGTTGTAATTTCAGATATTTCTCTCAAATCTCTCTTTAAATTTCCTTGTCATTCTTTAATTTCCCTCGCACTTCCATTGACAACTTAGGCATTTCCTCATAAATTTACACAAGAAACATCGCTAAACAGTTCCACGTACGATTTTCCGCAGAGTTCACCACCGCGTGACTTCGGGAATATCTCTTAAATGCTCTTCCAGACGTTTGCCGATTTCGCGCCGGAAAATTGGAACCTTCCGCAGCTTCCTGCCGACCTGCAGACCACCTACCGTGCTACCGATCGTTCAGGTGGTCTCTCGCTGGACTAAAATCGAAAAGCGATGAGCAGCAAAGCGGAAGCCATGCCAGGGTTGAAAGCCCAGCTACGACCCCATTCGTCGAGCGCGCGACTGGCAGAGCCTGCCTACCCCTTGGTTGCTGGGGTAGCGGTGCCGCCTCTTCATCGATCTGATAAAGAACCGCCGTTGTTCCCGTTCCTAGGAACAGCGTCCCGGAACGTTGCCGGGAGAACTACAACCGATCGGAACGTATACTTTCTCGAAAATGATAAGCTAATTATATATAAAGAAATTCGCACGATTCGCTTCATGAAAATATTTAAAAAATGAATTGAATTTGAAGGAACCAACTGGAACTTTACTGAAACCGGATTCAAAACAATCAAATTATAGTGATTTGTTTTGTTTACTGAGGAAGTGTTCATCTGAAATTGTGTAAGATTAAATACTTCATTAAACTGCCGAAATATACATATAATTGATTTATTAAAATATTCAGATTGAAATAAACGTAGCCAATAATTAAAAGATGTGAAATCGAGATTAACTGAAGGATCTTTGAAAACGTGACAATTATAACTTCTCTGCACATAATATATCATTCATATAAATATTTATTATGATACCAAAATCAGATATAAATAGTGTACACTTAGAAAAATATCTGGTTGAAAATAGAACCAGAAGATTCTGATTATGTCAATCAGATTTCCGGTTAACTAAAATTTTAATAAGTTTAACCAGAAAATTCTAATTCGTTCATTTTCAACCAAAATTCCAATTAATCCAATCAGAGGTTTTTCTTATTATACAAAGCATTACGAAATCCTTTTTTTGATAGCTTCTCTTTCTATAATTAGTTTACGCAGAAAACATCAACTAATTATACAAAATATAAGATCCAAGTTATTGAACTTTAAATCGTACATGTATTTTGTAAGTAAATTTATTAATCCTCTTGCTTAAACATTAGAATATTCTTTTAAATATTTTATTCCAGTTTGTTAGAGATACTAGTAGAATGATAATGTTTCATTCCAAAGCCATCAACTGTCTATCGAAACTGTTGTATAAAAACCGCTTACGTTTGGCATCTTCGTGAAAAGAGTTTTCATCGCCATTAGATGTTGTTCGTTATTTAACTTGGCTAACTATAGGTTTTGTCCATCGAACTTACAGAATTTTCAAGTATCTACAGTCTCTAGCGACTTCATGAATTCGTAATTGTCCGACGGACACGAACGAAAGTCCATCGCAGTGAAGAAAGCCGGTTATAAACTGGCGAGCAAGAGAAACTTATGATGCTAAAAAGTACTAAAGTGTATTAGTTACGTTGCTTTCACATTTGTGTGCAGTCTATATTATCAATACATACATACATACATTTCGACTTATTTAATTGATAGGGGTAATTTGGATAGAGTAATAAAAAATTTCAAATTGTGTATAAAAGATTGAGATCGCATAGTATTTAATTAAACATACAAAATATCAAATTCACAATAGTATGTTTTGTATGTTTGATTGAATACGGCTTCAATTTTTTATGCAATTTGAAAATTTCTGTTACCAAGTTGCCTTGCTTTATCTTATAAAACGATAATAAATAATACATATTATATAATATAAAGATAAATAAATAGAAAGAATGTGTTACAATAATAAGTAATACGCAAAAATATACATAGAGTATAGAAAATTTAAATAATTCATAATTTTAATATTTAAGATAAAATTTTACTTATAACTTTGTTAATCATGAAATATAAAATACAATTAAAACACACAGGTATATAAAATATACAATTAAAATACATAGTATATAAAATTATAAATAGAATTTTGTTCTGATATCTGATGCGAATTATAAATTGTCTAAAGTGAGTTTTTTATATATATAGTATTAGTAAATATTACATATATAATATTTATAATACATATATAACGTAATATGTAGTTACACACATATACGTTATAATATATTATTATAATTATGTATAAAACAACTTATGATATATGCAAAATATTTTTTTACTTTCACGCAGTTTCTCTCCCACTCTCTTATTAATTGCTAATTCGCTTTTGCACTCAAATTCTCTCTCGAGAAGTTATTGCAAACAACAAAGAGCACATCGTCGAATCACAGATAAGCTCGTAATAGAAAAGAAATTGATCGCACGTGCAAGTCACGTGCGGCCACAACGGGTTGCGTTCCAGGTTAACCACTTCGGCGACATTTGGCCCTGTCGAGCAAACCTGTAATTATGCGTACCGTAACAGGTACGATCTGATTTCTCTAACGCATTATTAAGCGTCAGATAATAATATTTAATAATGCACTGCGGCTCGCAATATGTTTGCCGGATGCACGCTTCGTTTTCTAACCCGGCAATATTTACTGTAATTTTATATAAAAGGCAACACGTGT